CCCCCAAAACCTGGCCACACAAACCCAATACATATTGTTTGGGTTGTAACCAGTACAACTCTTCTGTTCAAAGGAGCTGCAAATGTGCCTTTAAAAGGTTGTGTTTGCTTTTTGCACCACTGTTGCTATAGAAGATTGTGGATGTTAACTGATGCTTTTGTATCCTTTGAAAATACAATTAGTTCACTGAAGCATTGCAAAGGACATATGGAACAGAAAAAATAAAATGGACTTCAAAGATAAGAAGTTGCTCAACAGGTGAACAAGAGATAGTTGACTTCATGGCATAGCACAGGCACAGACTGATGAGAGGTTAAATTAGCTGAGGCTAGAGAAGACAAAGTCATTATGTGGGCTGTATGAAATTCAGAGAAAGGTGAAGATTCAGACAACAAAAAAAAAGAAATCTTCAAGTAAGCATGCAATTGAGCAGTAGGAAAAAGATGACAGTGGTATGAGGTTTTGTAACACTTCTAGAAGTGGCAGTACATGTGGAAGCAGTTGCCAAGAGTAGTGTCAGGGCACGATGCTTCAGCAAAATTATATTCTGACTAACATAAGGACAAGAGAGAAAAAAATGTGATCCAAATCCTTGTAGCCAAAGAGAGATTTCAACCTTAGCATTTGGAGGCAGTTCATTTTGTGCAGAATGAATCAAAGGGAGTCAAGAAGGGAACCGGCTAAAGAACTTGAGTAGGTTGTGGAAAAGGTAGATGACATCAATTCGCATCAAGTGTCCAGTGTTGAGGCTCACAATTAAATGACTCAAAAGTTTAAAAAAACAATAAAGGGGCCAAAGGAGGATCTATTTGGCACTGTGGAAATAAAGACCACAAAAAGACAGCCTCTACTGTAAATTACAAAGGAGGCACTAGAGAGTCTTAAACAGTAAAAGAAAGATTATTTGCTCCAAGTGCTCAAGAAAAAGTTGAATGGAGCAAGAAATGAAGGGCAGGAATTTGAAGTTAGATTTACTTTAACCCCCTGCTCCATATGCATACACACACACACCCCCCCCAACTTGGACAAAAGCTAAAAATTAGAGATACGTCGATTTGTTGTACTCATTTCTAGCTGAAGTACCAGGGATGAGCATGAAAACAAGTGCCTGGGCTCCTTCTACTACCAGCCAGGAAACGGAGCAGGTAATCTCTCTTCCTCCTCACATCATTTATTCCCTAGATGTGACTTAAACACCCCACACACACCGCCACACACACACAT